ATATTTCGGTTTTTCACAAAGAAAAATTTTTGATCACAGCATGCAAAAAAAGTTTAAAATTGAAAGCAACAAATTCTTATCAGTCCAGTGAGTTTTTCGGGCTATTAATATTTCAGTCTTACAACATAAAAAGAATAAAATATTCAATTTTCGTTAGTGAGATCAACCGGAAAATCAGTGTCAATATGCACCCAGTACTCTAGAAACAAACAAATCCCAGCGAATATAGATAAATTTTTTGTTTTTATTTTCTTGTTTCAATAGCAAATCAAAATCTCGGTCTCCTCTTCGGTTGGCCTCTACGAGGTCCAATAGAGAAAAATCTCTGGGACTTACTATTATGATATACAGTGTTATTCACTTGGGTCAACAGCAAAACTTGCCCAGAGGGCTCACAAGAATACCATCACTGTTTAAAAGCGACGGTTCTTGGGAAACAAATGAGCCCCTATTTTTAAAATCAGCGCCTTGATGCCAAAGCAACGTAAGAACAATTTCCAAATTCCACAAGCAGTGGACACTGACTGCAGACATGACTGCCGTGGACGGGGTCCTTTCTCGAAAAGTGTTCTGGACCAGGCGGGAATCGAACCATTCCTGTTCACGTCTGGACGCAATGTGTTACCACTACACCACCGGTCCTCGTGCTCCAAGGTTCAGCCTGGTAGCACATCTACTGTGTATCTGCCTCTCAAGCCCAGACACCCTTTCTTTTCATCCCCTTTTTTCTTTCTGGTAGCTTCTTAGCCGGCTTTCAGCGGATTTTTCGCAACGCTGGCATACGTGTGCAACCCCGTAACATCACTAGCACTACATATTCTTACCGACTGTCCGGTTGGCCCGTGATAATCCTCAATAACTGCGTTATATTTCTGTGTTATGTCTCGAGGCACACAGAATTCGATTTTTTACTTTACAGTACCTGTTAACCATATGGATTGCTACGCTATATGATAAACCACAAAAAGTGCAAAAAGGGGACTACTAAAAAAAATTTTAGAATGCAGCGAGAAAATCGGAGAAGTATAAAAAGCACCTCTTCAACATCAGCAGGGCGTCCTTTCCCGGCCTTTCGGTGATACTCGTTCCGCTCGTCGTCGCTTAATTCAAACCACATTTTCTGGAGCTTCTCCTTCGGCGTACCCCTATATTCTTTTGAAAATTCCACAAAGCCACTCTTGTATACTTTACCAGTGCATTGATCGCCGTACTTTTTGCGCCACTTTTTTATCTAAAAAATGCTTGAATTTGAACAAATATACCTAACAAATATCAGTGATACCTATTCCTAAGTTTTTTTTTGACTGCATTCAGCTAATAACAGTGCGAAATACCGCATAAAATATTTTTAAAATAAAAAATTTTTTTAAAAATCCCAACTCAGTGTCTTAGAGCTGAATGCCGATTCTGGCCTGTTCTCTTCTGTCCACAAACGTGAGAATCCAAATACCCCCACATTCATTATTCCTGTTACTGTTAATATCACTAAACTTAAAACCAGACTGCTGATTAACGTAGCAGACAAATACGTCTATCTTGGCCAAGAAACAAAAAATATGACGGGATCTTGGGCCGAAGATTAGGTACACGTAAGAAACGCCAGTTGGCACAATCTTCACAGAATCGCCGATGTCCTCAAAGTGTCAAACCGCAAAACAGCATTCTGCTCACCCCTTCAGCACCACTGTGCAAAAAGCAATGACACGGATGTGAAACGTGGTCACTGATGAAAATGCAAGAGAAATGCCCGCTACGACTAAACAAATCTGAAAAAGCCAAAACCAGCTGCATTATAAAACTAAGCTCATTTTAGCGTAAAAACATGCCTTTTTGTATGCTTTTTGACATTTCTTCAGGCCCCATACGTTTTCATCAACATCTGCCGGAACAACACGAGAGCGCAGCACCTCTACATTATCAGCAAGAAAATCGAATTGTTCCGAATTCATAAATGTGCTCTTACACACATCCATACCGTCTTCGCCATAACGAAACTGCAACAGATGCGGTCACCAAATACACTGGCTAGGATCATGAGCAGTACCTTTCTAACCCAAAATAATACGACAATTTTCAGCAAGATGGCCCAGGATATCGATTCTAAATTGCCAGAAGTATTCCAAAAAAATACCTGAATAACACTTCCATCATGATCTCGTACGGTAGAGTCGTACTGTGCCACTAGACCTTCCAGATGTTTCACAATACAACGCTGCAAATAGCCCGAACGAGAGGTTTTCACAGCCGTATCGATCAAGCCCTGGAAGATACTTCACATTCAAATCGATTACAATCATTCCGCTTCTAAGTTAACCTTGAAACAGGGAGCATTCGAAAGGCTTGCTCGCGAGTGATTACTGTTGGTCCTTGTTACCACACGACTGCTTCTACCGCTTTCAGGAAGCTTATTAGAAAAGTATGACTTTTTGCATAATTTGATAA